GTCCCTCCGCGGGCTTCCAGGAGGACTCTCCAACGGGACCGCGCTGTGGGCGCGCTCCGGTGCGGTGCGGTGAGGGGAGGGTCGGCAGCCCTGAGGTAAGGTAACTTCCCGAAGGGATAACGCAAACCGCTTAATCTGTCCCGCGATCTGCGGGTCACACATCAGGCGTGATCCACCTCCTCGGTGGTTTGTTTCCTTCCACGTTTGTGACTAAAGCGATGGTGATGAGTTTGAGGTTATTAACGCCTGTTCCTTGGTATTGCGGGTGAGTGTGTTGGTGTGTCCGAAGAGGAAGGGTTAACACATGGACTTGTTTTCCCTGGGTATTTAGCACGTGATAGTCATACTGTCTGCTTTTTAGTAGAAATAGTATGTAATGAAAAAAATATGCTACTAAATTTCATCCGCTGTCAGACTGCTAAATTTCAATATGGATTTTTTTATTTTTTTTTTTTCCCTTCAGGCATACTAGAATATGAAGTTCTAAACGAAACCAAAAAGAAAGTTTTGTCTGCTCAATACAGTTGTTCCTTCTTTTTTGGGTGAGAGGGGGTTTAGTGCCTTAGGGATGGAGTCACACCATGTGAGTGTAACCTCCGTTGCAGTGCTTTCTTCAGCAAAATATAATAAGAAAAAAAACTTCTCCATAAAATTAAGTTATTAAGCAAACCAGGGTCTGTAGCAATGGGGCAAATGGTGCCATTTTTTGATATTGTTTTTTGAATGTTGTTCTTTTATGCCCAGATACAAGCTTGGTAATAAGTTACAAAATGAGGTGTTTTGAATGGCTGATGCAGTTTCTAAAGAATTAGTAAAATGCTGCAGTCTTGAAGGGATGTTAAAAGTTGTGTGAGTATTTGGTCAGGATTGACCCTGCAGTAATCCTGTGATGATGATTTAGGGCAATACATTTGACAGGAAAAGTTTGTTATAAAATAACAGCTTCCAAGGATGCTCATTAAAAAAAAATGTAAATTGCCTGATGATTTGCAGCCTTGTGCTCCTTGTGTAGCAGGCTGCTTGCATCGAATGATCATATTTCTTTGACAAACAGTGGAGAAGATTGCTTTATGAGAGGTGAGCACACGTAACTCTTACCTGACCACCTGGATGTGGATTATGTGATCTGAGTGAGCTCAGCAGAATTGTGTCAGATTTCCTGTGTAACTAGGACTCTTCCAGTTGACCTGGAGCATCATTCCTTAATAATAGTTGTAAAGCTTTGGGGATGTTATGGTGTTGTATCCTTCTATGTAAAGATGGTTTGATGGAACCTCTGGTTCATGGGAGTGTTCATTTATAATGACAGAGAAGTTGAGGATGGGAAACTACAGTAAAACGTTGGATACATGTGAGAGGTGTCTTAACTGGCTACTGTGTGTCACCATCACAGGTATTTAATATTAAATGTTAACACTTCTGCAGTTGTCCTTCATTCTGTAGTGCTGAACGTCTAAATACTTTTTTTTTACTCTTTTAAATTATTATTATTATTATTTTAAAAATTTTGGACATGATTTAGACCAGAGCAGCTTTTTCACTAGTTTGTTGACCTGTGCTTAAAAGTTTTTGGATCCAGTCCTGGAAGCTGTTCAGTGATAGTTTTGTGTTTATGTCAAGTCTGCTTATTTAATAAAGGTCTTGTGAAGGAATGTTAATTAAACAGTACATGGTGTAAGCTGTAGTTAAAACATCCTGAGTTGGAAAGTATTACATGGAAGGAATATCGAGTTCTTAGGCTGTATTTAGTAGGTCTGCACACTGTCTTACTTCCAGTTTTGTGCTAATCTGATTTTCTTTCCTGGCAGCATCTGTCAGATGAAGATACTTCAAATAAAGTCACTCAGAAACACACCTACATTTATTGCTTACTATATAAATTATTGTTCTCTGCACCTCTTAGGGGTGATCCTGTGCAATAGGGTTCAAATGTATCAACTCTTAAGTTACTGAGAAAACGAATTCTCCATAAACTGCTTTCACAGAGGTTGCATTTCCATACACTTTGTTAGCTGTTGTTGTAATTTGTATTTTCCTAGACCCAGGTCAAGCTCTCAGTGTATGGATAAAAAACAGTGAGGAGTTTATAACTGATATAAAGCAAAAGCAAAGGAAAATGGTGTACTAATAATTACCTAGGCTGGTGAATTTTTGTGTGTGCCCATTTTTCAATGTAGATTTTTAAGAAAAAATTACTTAGAATTCTGACTTTTGAGAGTGGGTGCATAGTGCAGATGTGTGTATGTGGATATATGAATCTCTGAGAAATGTGCTGTTGGGGATAGGTGAGAGGAGATGAGGCTGCCAACTGCTGATTTTCCCTCTCAATACTTCTGAAACAGTTCAGTAGCATTCCACATTGAGAGCTAACTAGTGATATAGATAAAAACAACTCTTTTGTATCATTTCCTAGAATAATTCTGTGAGGACAGGGTTTCTTTTGGAAATACCTAGTTTCTAAATTTGATAATAAAACACAGATAAAAGGTAATACAAATTAAAATCTATTAAAAATAATTGATGTTATTTGAGTCAGATTTTACAGTCTGTTTTACATATGTGTTTGCATGATCAGAGTAATTATGTGCATAAATCAACTGGCACGGATTTTATATTGAGCTTAAAGTTGTCTGAAAATGGAGTTACATTTTTTTAAATTTTAATTGTAAAAGAATTATAAATGTGTTGAAATTTCCCAAGTCAAGGTTGCAGGTGATGCTAAGCAATGAGTAATGAACGACTGAACACTGATATCTTTACAAGTGCAGGATCTAATAAGTTATTAATGGCTGCCAGTAATTGTAGCTCTTTGTAGTGGTGCTCTCTTAGGGTAAGCCTCAGCTACAGTAGGGGCAAAAGCATTTGCTAGTTTGATTAGGAGGTGGTTCTGTCTAATCCAGTCATGAGCCAGTGCTCATTCTAAAATTACAACTTCATTTTATTGATGCTTTTTGTTATCTAAAAAAAGTTGGGATGCTGTGAAACATAGTTCTTGTAAAATTGTGGAGATTGTCATCCTCTGGTAATTTTACAGCTAAATCTCATTATTCTATTAGTATTTTCCAGAGCCATAGTCCATTTTAGTGGTTACAATACTGTTATGATCCATTCTTTACAGGATACAGTGGGATCCAAAGTGATGAAACTGTTTTAAAAACATCTGCAAATTTTTACCAAATCAACTTTTTCCCCATGTTGAAATCAACTGGTTTGAGGAATGTACTGTTCCTCTGGGCTCTGTTATCTTAGATACTATTGTTTATAGTTTAGTGTTTAATGATACACTGAAAGTTGCTTCTCTTTATATTCTGATAAGGCAGCTTCTACTGAGTTCCAATAATGATGGGAGCTGACATACAGGATTCCTAGCACTTTTAGGGAAGGACAGTTATTTAACGTTTGGGTTTTTGTTTTCTTTTGTTTTTTACTTCTGCAGAATTGCTGTCTAACCAGCTGTTTATCTTTCATTTGTGCCAATTGTTTGTGGCAGTTAAATACTTCCCATTTGTCCTTATTTCCTCTTGTTTGTTTTGGATCATCTCCCCAGTTTGTCACAAATTATTTAAGAACTTCAGTATTGTCCTCCAACTTGTTTTTGTCTCTTCTCAGCTGGGTATTAGTCTCGTTTTTGTGAAGAACTCAAGTTTATTAAGATTGTCTCTGTTGCATTGAGTTTTTTTTTTTCTATTGCAGCTTAGAGTATTCTACTTTTATTTGTTCAGTATATGTATCACCTAATAGGAGACTTTATAGATTTTCCTGATTCTTGATTCCTTGGCAGATATTTAAAGCTTTTCTTGCTCTTCACTATCTAAGATTTATTTTATCTCATATATAACTGGAGATGTGAATCTGTGCTGGTCTTGAAACAACTTTGCACTGAGCCTTGTGTAAATCTGGGAATATAGGTGTTTTAATTCTGGTCTTCTGATTACCTTGAAGAACTTACCAATTGCCCAGGTCCTTTTAAGAAGTGTTTATCAAAGTGCATAAACTTGGTGTTTAATACTTAAACTATTAGCTTTGCTAATACTGTGATTTTTCTCCTCTTTCCTCCTTATCCCCTTTCTCCTGTTGTTTTTCCACAGGAACTGAATTTCTCTCTCACTGAGGTTCCTTCACTTCCAGTATGGAGATGAATCGAGAAAAACTGTGTGCCAGTAAGGCTGATGTGAGCTCAGATTCTGCTTATCATTGCTCAACATGTCACGATGATGAGGAGTGGAGCAATACCAGCCGGGGACGAGCTAAGTCACGAAGTTTGTCGGCTTCACCAGCCCTTGGAAGCACCAAAGAATTCCGGTATGCTGCTCTTAAGAAAAAAAAAATTTTAAAAGTTATGTAGATTTTAGTTTTCACTCCTATTTTTATATAACCATAGTCTGGCAGCTGTGACAAGTGATGAGCAGAAACAAAAATAGTGTTTTGTAGTAATAAATAGAGAGGGAGATGATTAGTGAACCATTTATTGTGGTCCGTGCTGTGAAAAGAACTTGATTTTCTGAAGTAGCTGTGTAGGTGGTCATCTCTAAACTGACATTGATGTGAGTAGGTTCTGGCTGGTTGTGGGGCCTGCCTTCTTGTTCAGAGCTTCTTGACAGATCTTAAACTGATTTTTGTAGATATTTCAGCAACATTCTATATCTGCGTGTACACCTTCAGCGAGACAACACATTACTCATTTACTTTCTATATGCCACTTAAAGGCTGGCTGAAGTATGTCAGTCTGGGCTCAAGAATTTGTTTGTATTTAGAAATGGCTATGTGAAATGTAATAGATCCTTTCTTTGAAGACAAAGTGCACATAAAACTGCTATCTGTAGTGTTGTGTATAGAAATTATTCCTTAGTAAGAAATTTAGTTAGGAAAGTATGGGTTTATTTCCAGCTAGGAGAAGCTCTTAAAGTATAAAAGCTTAGAAGGTTATTGTTTATAAGCAGATAAACACAAAATACTACTTCTACAATTTGAGGAACCAATTTTGCCCAACTACTTGACTTCCTGGGTTTTAGGGTAGATTTGAATTTGGAATGCTATGGTGTTTGTCATATTTCAACCTAACTTCAGAAATTTTAAGTACCTTCCAGAAATAAAATACAAATGCATCTTTACCAAGCTATGTTAATTTATAGCTTGATTGTAACTCAGGTCACAAGAAAGGAACAGTTTTATGCTTGGTTCCAGATCTTTAATTAGTAGGCAGAACTTTACCTCTTGCTCAACAAGTTGCTTTTAAGGGATTCCTAAAATGAAAAAGCTGTTAGTCCAAAATGAAAGCAGGAAGTTAAAGATGGGGTTAGACCAAGAGCAGACCTGTAATCAGAATGGCATGGCTGTCAAAAAAGGTATCTGCAGAGTTCATGGTCTCAAAAAAGAATCAGTCAACAGTAGAGACACCTCTGCAAATTTTTCCAAATCTCCAGCTAGAGCTCTAGTGCTGTGCGTGAGTACTGAGGTTATATGGTAACGTGAGGCAGCACGAAGTGAGTTTGTGCTTGCAGATTGTTTCCCAGCACTGAGAAACGCCCACTTTTTCTTTGAGCCAGATTTCTAATCTTGTTGCAAGGCTCTTGTCATGTGGACAGCTTGGACAGAACTTTTGATTTTGTGATCTTTGGACCCATTGTAAATATTGAATAGCGTGCTGTAGTAGCTGTGTGTCTTGAGCTCATGGGGAAGCACAGTGGAACTTTACCTCACTGACGTTGTGACCTTCTCTAAAATCACAGACAGAATCATGGAGGAGTTTCTCACCAGATGAAATTCCTGTCCAGAGTGACTGTTTTGCTGGTAGGAATGCTCTTGAAAGGCAGAGTGTATATGGGTAAGGCTGGAGCTTGCAGGGGGAAGCTTTGTGGTGAAGGGAGGCATAATAAAAGCCTTTATTTGAAGAGGCTAAAAGGTTAGGAAAATACTTGCTTTGCATATGCACTTCAGAAAGTCTGTACTTTAGTGCTTTTAGAACCTGTTTACAAAGGATCGTGCTCTGACTGCACTGTTGTAGCTGCTCTGGTTCGTGTCACAGTCGATGCGTAAGACTTTACGTTAAAAGTGTGCTGTGAAACTCGTGTGTTTTCCCTTCTCACTTAAACCTTTAAGAATGTAGACTTCAGTCAACCTCTGTCAAAGCCCATGTGGTCTGAATTTTTGTGTGTTATTATCTTCTGCCTAAATCACTACTTTTTTAAGCTAGAAGTGATCTTTTTAGACCCTACCTATTGTGAGTTTGAATTAGGGTTATTGTTTATGAGACTTTTGTTCATTAAGATGCTCTGCATTCATTCACTGGCTGTCTTCAATTTAGTGCCAAATTGTCACAAGGCATTTTGCAGGATGTCAGAAAGTGATGTCAGGCTTGCTATGTAGTATTCAGATTGAAGTGGTTGCCTGTCTGCTCAACCCAAATGTATACCAATTATTAATTAGAGCTTGCAGAGAAAACTTTGTTTGAATGTCACAAAGGTCAGATGTGGATATTTCGTACTTCTTGTAGTAACAGAGTTTAGCCAGTTACTGGGATTGTGTGGAATCATGACCTGTGTTGAAAGAAGGCAAAAAAGACAGTTATTTGGGAGAACTTGAGTGGAGCAAGGAGTGGGAGGTGATATTGCCGGGGTGTTATTTAACTATTATTATATAGTTATTTAACTATCTCGATTTCAAGTGTAATTGTTCACAAGTAGAGACTTAACATTCCTTTACACGTATTGGTACATGTATTAATCTCTAATTATGTCAATTCTTGCTCATTTCTCTGTTTTAATAGAAATAAAGTAAGCTTTATAAACCACTTAGTAATAGCCTTATCTGATGGGATTAGTTATGCCTGGACTTATAAATGGAAAAATTATTTGAAAACCAAATATCACTTCTGTGTGTTAGATATAGGAAATTAAATATTCATTTTCATTATTGGAATCCAAGTCTTACACTTGCATATTTTATTAGAAATAGAACAAATAAAATGTTACTGTTATTCCTTAATTATATCTTTTAAACTTGTCATCTGTTTTTGATTTTTATTAGATTTCTGAGGGGGTTTTTTTTAGCACCAAGAGTGAGTCATCAGACTGGTCTGAGCTACGTTATAATATACACAATAGAAGGCAGTGCAGTAATGATTTGTTACTGCCAAGCAATATGTTAGTTACCAGTTCCTTTGTTAATTGAATTAAACACAGGAAAGGCATATTTCCCCCTTCTTTTTAATGGAATAATTTCTAATAGCATTTACATAATGTTTCCACAGTTACATGACTTGAGTAAGTTTTACTCCCATGTGCTGCAGGAGGTGGGAGGAAGGTAAGGTAGAGCAGTTCTGTCTTGCTCCAGATAATCTTATCCTAGAGCTAGGAGCAATGCTGTGTTCTGGGTGGGATTTAAGTTTGAAGATAAATGACATTTCAGAGCTCCTGTTTATTTGAAGATGAAGATCATATTAGCTCTTATTAGACAAATAAATTGAAAAAATAAGCATTTTTTCTACCTATTCAAAACTAAGGCCTAGTGCTGCAGATACATATCTCTATATACCTTAGAACTGAAGGATTGTGTTTTATTAATTTATTAAGTGCAAAGATTTAAACAAGGAAAAAAGTGTTTAAATGATCACGACACCGTTACGGTCACTTGACCATGGCAAAGAAATCTGAAGGTGTTGAAGATTTCATTGTAAATGCTTCTCATGGCTTATACTGGGAAACCTAATTTATATATGTTACTGTACCTTATTGAGATTAAGAGCACTCATTGAGCTATTTTATGTGTATTTTTAACAGATTTAATCATTCTGCATGTCCTATTCTAAAATTGTGTGCTCTTAGATAAGACATTGTGCTTCAAGAAGTACAGAAACAAAAGTACTGTGGTTATTGTGTCCCAGCAGTGCAGCTGATGTCACTTAGGAATTGATGCACACTAATGCTTGGTTGTTTACTTGCTCGTTGTCAACAGAAAGTAACACATGCCAAAACGTTAGAGAAGAGAAAGTGCTTATCCTATATAAACAAAAGCTCTAGCTTAGGTTTTGTATTTTAATTAATTGCTTAGGCACGCTTGTTAAGTGAAGGTTGTGAGGCTGCTGAATTACATAACAAAAACTGAACGCTGTTGCTCTTTTACTCAGCTGCTGTTATTCCAGAGATATTTTGAGTCTCTTTTGAGTGTTGCCACGTCTCTCATTTGATAATTACTCGGTGTTATTTAATAAATAACTTCCTACATGCTCTGAAATGTTCAGTCAACTACTGCTCAAGTTCCCGGTTGAGTACATGAAGTGTTAAGTGCTTGTTTATGCTATCATATTGACTATTATTTAGAATTACAACAAATTGAGGAGTTGAAAAATGTGTCCTTTAGTTATTTAAATGTCTTCTTACTCTAACTTAAAAAATTTGAAGTTCTTTTGATATGTAAGAAACACATAGCTAATTCTGAAACAGGAAATTTTTGTGCTTTGTTTCTTAAATATAGAATTTTTCCTTTTCACAGTAGTGAGACCTTGAAAATAGATTATATTTTTCTAATTTGGGATTTATCTACACTTTTTTTTTGTCTCTCTGGGAGACACATGTACTATTCTGTATTGTACTGTCCAGAAGAGTTGAGGCTAAACAGAATCTCTGCAGGCTTGCCATGAATTCACAGAACCAGCTTGAGAAAACTTCAGCATATCTTCTTTGAGGCTGTGATGTCTCCTTTGTGCAAAGTAAAGATGAAATTAATACAAGAAGAATATGTGCCTGGTACTAATATTTAGGAAGTGATTGCTTAGTATGTGCAGGGGATAAACTGTGAGTGAGGCTTTGAATAAAATTACTTTCAAGGAGAAGGTAAAGGACTTAAGTTTTAGATTTGAAATGTGAGAACTAATACATGTAAAATTACATTGGCTGGTCAACTGCAAATGTAGGTTTAAGAAATGTACTTTGACCTGTGTTGCCTGGTGCAGCTTTTTCAGAAAAGTGGTTTTGGTGGTTGGGTAGCTAATTATATCCTGTCTGTTGTCACATTTCTTTTATTTATTGATTATTTTTAAATTCCGTGTTTAGAAGAACACGCTCCTTGCATGGACCATGCCCAGTGACCACGTTTGGACCAAAGGCCTGTATGCTGCAGAATCCTAAAACGATTATGTAAGTACTTGTCAAGTGAATGGTGTTATGCTTATTCTGTGTGAAAGACAAAAGTTTACTTTTCCACTATTCATCCCCCAATCAGCATCATTTGTATTTTACCTGATATTTAGAGATTTTAATGTTGCTTGATTGCCACCTTGGGGTCCCCATTGCCAAAATTGGCCTGCCATTTTTATCACACATTAACCATTTAAAAAGTCAGTCTGAGAGGGGCATAGATAGCACTGCTGAACTGTGTTCTCAAGTAAAACCCGTTAAAAGTGCATTAGCTTGATCTGTGTGTTGAGAAATGTAATAGGAATTTATTTTTTCCAAAGGGATAATGGGACATAATTGGTATTTCTCTGTATGGATTTATAGTGGTTTTGCTGCTTGGAATACTTCCTGCAGGGTAACAGACATAAAAGGAAATTAACTTTACTGGTTTTACATTACTAATTCATGTGGTGTCCTTAGGCCCACTGTCTGCTACCCAAACTAATGGGAGTTTTCTCACAGCTCAGTGTATCTATTTTGGGGAAAAACAAACAAACAAAAAACAAACAAACAAAAAAATTTCACATAAAATACAGCAGGGCATGTGAATAGTATTAAGTACTGAAGTTTTGTTTAGACATATTTTGCATAATCTCCAATCCATAGTTTGATGTCAACTATAATAAACACTTCCCAAAATAATTGACAGTAAACTCACCATTTGTGTTAAACCTTATAGCCATCTAATTATGATATGGAGAAGCTATTGGTAGCATTTTGTTTATTCCATTGACTTGAAATAACTAAAGAGCAGTGTTTCTGAATGATAGAGGAACAAACGTTTTTATGGACAACACAAGGGAAGGAGGAGAAATGGTTCTGTGTGTTGTGAAATCTGAGGAAAGCCTTCTCCCTTTCTTGGTATTGTGTGTTTGAGCTGATAGTTTGAAATTTTATATTTGGTCTATGGCACTTTCAGTGTATGAATATCATTAAGGGCAAGTTTAATTTTAGAATCTGCTGATAAATTTAGTATGAAAATAAGTTGGTTTCTGCTTAGCAGGCATATAAACAGTTTAATTTTATAGGTTGGGGGGTATAAAAGTGTTGCTTTTTACACTGTGTATTATATACTTAATAAATGATGTCTTGACTTGGATAAACGAGGAGTGTCAGTGTTCTACAGATTAACCAAGTTAGTAGTCCCTGGTTTTGTCACTTTGAAAAGTTTTATTTCATTGTTCTTTCAGTTAAAAGTAATGTATTTGAGTCAAGTATTCATTTGCCTAAATCTTTACGTAGCCTTCCTCAAAACAGGTTGGTGATACCCTAACTTTCCTATGAAGGTGTGGCGGAAATCTTGCAGCGTGCAGTAACTCGTAGCTTCCTCATTCTTTGTTCTGAAGTTGGTGGTTTGGAGCGCTGCAGTTCAGCTGAAAACCCAGCTCGTGTTGTGCATTGTGTGTTTACCCACCTGACTGTGATGAACGTGCTCCTCCCCATGGGCTGGGCCAGCGTGGTACAATATAATGATAGCGGCAAGATCAGTTGAGTACAGAGGCTGCAGGCAACACCAAACACGCAGCACTTGCTGGGGAAGAGACTGCTTATGTGGTGTTCAGAACAGCTGGAAAGTAAAGGGGGCTCTCTGGTCACTGAAGGGAAGGATTTATTTGAAGACCAAATTGTAAATTATTATTCTTACTACACATCAGGTTTTTGTTCTGGCTTCTAAAAACAAGCAAAACCTTTTTGTTTGGGTTTTTCTTCTCTATAGTGAGGAATTTTGTTCAGCTCTCTTCACTGGAGAAAATTTTTTAACAGAAAATTTTAGTTTTTATGTGCTGGCATAAGTTAGTGAAGGTCTTGGTGTCTCTTTAAGTGCTAGTGCTGATGATTGTATTGAAGGACCTGCTTTCTGAAGACTCTTACGTAAGATGGCCAGATGAACTGAGTGACTGTTCAGTGAAAAGAGTCGGGTGCTTGTGGTGTTGAGGAGTGGGGAGGTCGAATACCTGTTTTTAAACTCTTGAAATGGGATTTTTCTTATGAAACCTCACCTCTGAAGATCTGTAATAAATATTTTATACAGCATTTTTCTGTAACGCCTCACAACTTTTTATTGGAACTGATTGAAATAAGTAGCAGAGAAAAAGGAATTTTCAGAGGAAAAATGTTTTTTCTTTTGAGGCAGCAGTTTATTGATAACTGATAAAAGCCTCAGCCTTTTTTTTTTTTTTTTTTTTTTTTTTTTTGGAGCTGTTGCATTTTCCTGACTCTAGGAAAGAAACATGAAGATCTTAAAGCATTTTATGAGTAATCTTTCATTTAGTAGAACTACGTGGAATTGGTGAGTACAGCTGAAATAGGCAGCCTGTCGTTTGTTTGAATGAGGTCTGTGTTAGTTCTAGGTTTATTAAGTGAAAAGCGGTGCTGCAGTCTTTAGTTCTTTGCTAGCCTTAGAAGATAGCCTAATCATTTTGAAATGGTTTTGGGAGTGGTTTCTCTATATGTATTTTTAACATTTTAACCTTTTAACAGTATTGAGATTTGAGGAATTTGATTTTATGAAATGAACTGTAGTACAGAAAATGCTTCCTTAGTCACCGTTTGTGTTGGAAATAGCGTATAAAACATCAGCTTTGGTTCCTTTCCAACTGCTGGGCAGCAGTAAACACATTAATGCAACTCTTCTTGTTCTATTATTTTATTCTGTTTTATTTTCAGTTTAGCTATTAGTTGGTTAGTTAAGTCAGAGGAAGCCTTTCAAATTCATAGTCATCTCAGATTCATGGTGATATTTGAGACTGAGTATGGTCTTTTCAAAACGCCCTTACACTGAGCCAGGGGATTGGACTAGACTGTCTCCAGCAGTGCCTTCCAACCTCCACACTATTCTACAGTTCCTTGACTCCAACATACAATGAGGTGAAACATAACGTAATGCTGAGAGCCTGGGTGTGATACCGAGTGTAACTGCATATTTGTATTCTTCTGTGTTATGTAACAATAGAGAGAGAGATGTAAATGTTATTGCTATTAAACTACTTCATTAATCTGTAGTTTCTGCTGTGTTTGTATGTCCAATATAGGCATTTTGCAAAGTAAAATGAACAGATTATTCCAGCTCTGGCATCATCATCTGTTTTATTTTAACCCCTCAAGTGCTAAATCCAAATCTCTTTGTAAATGTGACTTATTCAGCATTTATACTAATCTGCTTTGCTTTAAGGATTATGTCTGCACTGTATGGAAAAGGTTGGGATGCTTGTTATGTGCAAAATACAACTGGGAAATTATGTAGCTTAGAAGTAGATCTAAAAGAATAAGGAAAATACAGCTGGGTATTCTTAAATCAACTAAAGCTATTAGAGAGCAAGATGAGGGTTCTGTTACTGAACCCTCTTGAAAGCCACAAAATTATTTCTGTACATACATTTAGTTCTTGAGGTTCTCAAGTCTTAGCATGCTGTCCTGACAATAGGCAGACAGTAGTTTTAAAATACTTTTTAAGTTTTTGGGGTTTTTTTAATTTAAAGTAGCAGTTGTGCCACTTTAAGCAGATAAACTTGTGTTGGGATCAACACTGAAATAAAATTAATATATAGATTAGAGTTTTAAAGAAATTTTACACAAAAGTTATGTACACTTAGACATCTGTGGTGCTTGCCTGGAACAGAAGTGTACAGGCATCTGTTCCTGTTTACCCCTTTGTTTATGAAGCTTTATGATAGGAAGTGTAAGACTTGCAAGTGCAGACTTCCCAGAATAGAGTTTAGGTGCTATGGTTTTTTCATAGTTGTTAAGACTTATCTTGAGTATTTGGTACAGATGACCATGTGAATCTTAATTATTTCCCCTTGTCTTGTGGTAGTGTTTTTAGTGTTAGGAAAACTGTAGAATTTGTGTCTTTTTCTACAGGCTTCAAACTGTGTTGAGGAATCTGTGTCTGTATATTGGTATCAGTGAAAAAATGCTGAAGGAAACTTTGCTAAAAAGAAAAAAAGAATATTTGGGTTGGAACTATTGCACTATTTTTAAAATTTACATTGACTTAAGCTCTTTGACTTACAGTATTGGATGGGGAAAAAAAAATCACACTGCAGCCTTTTCTGATTCTTTAATTGGATTTTCCTCCTTATTTTAAGTCAGCTTAAGAGGAGAGAGAGCACTAAAACAAGATAGAGGAATACACAGTGTCATTACAGTATGAGCTATTGCATCTTCCTTTCTATTGTTCTAGGACTGAGTGCAATTATAATTAAAGATATATTCTTAACAGACAAGTATGTTGTCAAAGCAAAGTGTGGTAACACTGTCTTTTTTTCTAATCTCTAGGCACATTCAGGATCCAGCAAGCCAGCGGTTGACATGGAACAAACCTCCCAAAAGCGTCCTTGTTATTAAAAAGATACATGATGCCAGTCTGCTGCAGCCTTTTAAAGAGCTTTGTGTGTATCTTACTGAGGTAATGACATGTAAATTCCATTTTTAATAATAATTAAAAATTTTACATCTAAACTCTTTTCAATTACTGATTCTGTTGAATGTGGAGTGGGCAGGATTTGTATACTGCAAACAAATTGTTACACCCATTGCCACTGGAAGTAATAAAATGTTTCAGAGCTTAAGATTAGTACTTAAGTACTTCAGGTACAGAGCTAAAAAAAAAAATAAATTAAAAACTTACCTTAATTCTGTTTGCAGTTCTGAATGGGATATAAAAAGCTTAATCCTTTAAGCCTTGAACAAACATAGCAATGTTACTGTATCGTGTAATCTATATTCCAAAGTTTAGTTTAATTTATTAGATGGTCGATGCATGCTGCAAAATTCTTATTAGAATTAGACCACATGTTAAAAATAAACATCACAACCAACAGATGCAGACCACTTCTGTAAGATATTATTTAAATGTTAAGTTAATGCTAATTATGATAGGAGTCAAATATTTTGTCATTTTAAGAGGTTATTAACAAGCTCATCTCACCTCTCTTAAGGAAAACAATATGATAGTGTATGTAGAAAAAAAAGTATTGGAAGACCCCGCTATAGCTAACGATGATAATTTTGGACCAGTGAAGAAGAAATTTTGCACCTTCAGAGAAGGTATGGTAATGATTTCTTGAAAGTAAAATTGAATTATATTGTTTATTTGTCTTGGTATTTCCTTAGTCCTTAGATCAAGTTTGTTAAACTAACGTGTCTTTTGCAAAGAGCTGTTGTTACATCTTGGTTGTGAGTGAACGTTGGCATGCTGCACTTCATTTATATTAGGAAATTAAGACTGTTGACAAAACTTAATTCAAAACTTGTATTTCAATGTTGCCTCTAGATTATGATGATATCTCCAATCAGATAGACTTTATTATATGCCTGGGAGGAGATGGGACCTTACTTTATGCTTCTTCGCTTTTCCAGGTTGGTTTTTATGAAAAATAGACTTAAAAGACCTCTTTTCTTTTTGAAGTATATGAAAGATGTTTTTTTCCTTTGTTATTGAGTTCAGCATTTGTTCTTTGCTGTTAATTACTTTTTTTAATTAAGCCTGTTTCACCCTGTGCCTTCTGAAAATAATGTCTGTAATGTGTTGTTTTTATTATGCACAGTTGAAGTTACATCAATAGTAAAAATATTTACAGGCAATTAGTTGAAGTATGAATTGCTTTTATTCAGTAGCTTTTAAATTCTTTTCTTTATTGATAGGGTAGTGTACCTCCAGTTATGGCTTTTCATCTGGGATCCCTTGGATTTCTTACTCCATTTAATTTTGAGAATTTTCAGTCCCAAGTCACTCAGGTTATAGAAGGTAAATTTAAGGGGACAAGGTGTGGTGTTTCTTTTTGTTACATTTTCTGTAACTTTTTCCAAGACTAGTAAGTTTTCTTAACCAACTCATTTAGTTTGTCCCATAAGACAGTCACAAGAAATGTATACTGAGCTAACAAAAGTATTGCATTGCCTTGACCTGTTCAGTGCAGTTTTCTGTACTATTCTGTAAAGAAAAACAGCTAAGAAGTAACTTTGTCCTTTGTGGAGTAAATAAGTAAAAGATGATGCAGAACTCGCATTAAATGACAGTTAAACATACAAATAGAGTGTAGCTCTGAGGTCTGTTTCTCTAAGCAATGAAGTGCTTAAATTCTGAGAAGCCAGGCAAATAAAACATTAATGAAAGAAATACCTTGTTTCTTCAATATGAGGTTATTTAAGTTGCATCTAACATAGATTCCTGAAAAAATGTATAAAATTTTCACAGTGTTTCTAATGCACTTATTTTCTTTAAGCTTAGCTTTTGTCTTAGTGAAGATCACATGAGCCTAACAGTGTTTTCCAATCTTGATCATGTCTCATTGCTGCTAAGAACTAGTTTTGAGCTGTAACCAAGTGTAGACAATTATCTTGTGAATCTAATTGGGAGCATTGAAAGCACGGCAGTAGATGGATGGCATTTCATACAGTTTGCTAGTCCTTACAGGGTTTTATTTACTCTGATAACATATAATTTTTGTGTACTTTCTCCCATATTTCACTTCTAGGCAATGCAGCACTTGTTCTACGAAGCAGGCTGAAAGTGAAAGTAGTAAAAGAGCACAGAGAGAAAATGACAGTACAAAATGGTATAGAAGAAAATGGAGTAGTGTCTACAAATCTAGAGAAAGAAGTGGGCAAGCAAATTATGCAATATCAGGTCAGAGGGCAAAATAAGCAAAAGAACTAATACACTATTTGTAATTTGCTTTCTGCTTGTTTTATGATAACTTTTCCCCTTTCATTGGTGTCCTTACATTAGCCCAGAAGTGTGGGACAGATCCCTATTGCTGTAATTCACTATATTTGCACTGAATAATGAAGAAGTGGCATACATCATTACATTCTGCAATCATAAGTGCTAATACTGTACTTTCCTGTAGTAATATTTCCCTTCTATTTTGAAAACAAAGTAGTAGTCCTAAAATGAGATTAAAAGATCTTTATAAGTGAAAAGAAAAACCCTACACATTGTTAGCAACCAGATTGTTGTTATTATTTTGGAAATAATTCTTAACATCTGAAAACTTCAGCTGGCATTTGATAAGACTAAAGTGTAAAGAGAGTCTAATTTGGCAGGTACTAAATCAGCATTGAATTTTTCAAAGCATGTTTCAGCTTGTTACTTACTACATTGCCAAGTCAGCAATAGCACACTGGTGTAATATTTGATATCATGGCAGGTCCTAAATGAAGTTGTAGTGGATCGTGGTCCTTCTTCTTACCTTTCCAATGTAGATGTCTTTCTAGATGGACACCTGATAACAACAGTGCAAGGAGATGGTGAGTCTGCTTCTTGAGTTAAATGTGTATACTGTTGCTATTTTACTAGAGGATTTTCTCACATGGAAATGAAATCTCAAGCTTCAGTTCACTGATGACAGAAAACACTAGTGTGCAAAGAATAGGTATGTTTATTCATTGCTACATAATGCATTCCATGACGCATTAAAGTGCTGTAAGCTTTGTTCATGGACTTGTGAAGGCAAGTGGCAGTTTCTTTGGGTATGGTATGCTAGGGCAAGAAATAGCTCAGAAAAAAATTTGCTTGGATATCTGGAATCTGACGAAGACCTAAGGTCTCAACTTGTGAAATACAGAGGTTAATCTTTAAAGCTCTTACCCTTAAAAAAGTGAACGTCACTGTTACAAAGTTGTGTAACCTGCGATCTAGAAGTTTGTGCAACTTACATGAAGCCATAGAACAAACATGCTGTGCCAGGATTAGAACAGAGTTTCTGACTTTCTGTGTATTAGACTGCAATTCTCCTGTGAAATACAAGTTGATACATTCTCTGCTTCATTTTCCTAACACTGCTATTTCTTAGTTGTCTTCCAAAATACCACATCGATTGTAATGCTAATGTTAGTGAAAAAATTTTTGCTCCTTTCACAGGAGTCATTGTCTCCACGCCGACTGGTAGCACTGCATATGCAGCTGCAGCAGGAGCTTCTATGATTCATCCTAACGTTCCTGCAATAATGATCACCCCAATCTGCCCTCACTCGTTGTCTTTCAGACCTATTGTTGTTCCGGCTGGAGTGGAACTCAAGGTTAGCTTCTGTTATCTTATTTCTCTTTCTAAGTTAAAAACTTTTGTAATAACCACAAGAACCTCACACAGCATTTCCTGACCTCTTCTGCTCTGGTATCTCCTGCATTCTTTCATTTGTAGGAGGACCAGATCAAGTCTGGTTGAAGAATGCATCTTTGTTTAAAATAATATGCCCACTAGCGGAATACTTCACACTGCTTCCTACTGGATTGTAGTTGTGTAACATTCTGCAAAGTGGGAATATGTACATTTGCATCCTGACTAATAAAATGGAGGAGGTGTTTGTTCCTTGCTCTTGAAAAATAGGTTTTGGACCTGAAGTTTAGTTCTTTTCTCTTTTTCAGATCATGCTCTCCCCGGATGCTAGGAATACAGCATGGGTTTCATTTGATGGAAGGAAGAGGCAGGAAATATGCCATGGAGACAGGTCAAGCCTTTTTTTTATTGTAGTATAGAAAATACTGATTCATGCCCTTCTCTCATTCTCTAACATCTGTCAAAAGTGTTGCTGGCAGTGAAGAAACAAGCTTTTATAAACCCTAACACCTCTTATAGCATAAACTGCACTAAAAGTATTTCATTTCTAACTTGAATTTTTTAGAAAGAAAGTGAAATGCTAAGACAAAAAGTGTGTAAATATTGCATGCTTGGCAAGGAAGATGGACATAAAAAAATCTGTAAATTCAGTAAACCAGCAGGA